CGAGCGGGCCGCCTGAACCGGCACGCTGCGGAAGAGACAACTACCTGGGATGAGATTTTGCGTTTGGAGGCGTCAGTATGTACATGAATATATATATATGCATAAAAAATACAGGGAACAGGTCGGTTGAAAAGATATCCCTGTAGAAGGGATGCGATGCAACTTTGGTTTCTAAGTACCAAAACCTACGTGGGTACATCACTAATAACCGTGCTGGAGCGATATTTTGACATTTTTCATTTGTCTCCTAACAATACAAAAATAACGTATTTTATGCATTGCAAATGTTATCATTCTAGTGTATGTGGTGGGCAAATAAACTTCATTTTCTCCTCTTTTAAAATTAAAATATTAAGTTTGGTATACTGCTCAAAAACTTAATTAAAAAATCTCATATAGATGAGATAATTTTGTATATTTATAAATGGAAATTACCTCTATAGCATTAAATACAAGATACTTTGTTTTTTCTAATAACTGAGAGTACTTTTCATGTTTCCAGAAAAATACTATTTCAGCTTATATGATCAAACAATCTAGCAAAATGACATCATTTTGTCTAATACTTGTTTAAGAAAGCAGTAAAAAAATTGTTACACTTGAATTCTCTGTTTTATGTGAAGAAGAATGTTGCTAAGTTGCACATTATTTCTTACAGCTTTTAACTAACCAGCTTTTACCACCTCAGCTTTTAGATCAAATGCTTGGGGCAAGGTGTAAGATTTTGCTTTTTCTTTCCTTGGGACAAGTTTTTGTTTTTTTCTTTCTGTGTATGACAAGGTGAAACCTCTTGAACACTGAAGTTCAAACCAATGAAGGGTTGATAGAGTAAAGGCTCTTCATAGACTTGTCAAAACTGAGTATTTGTAATAAAAGCAAATTTTAGTACAACAGCAAAATGCTATAGTGTTTGAATCCTGCAGTTTTTCACAGAGCTGGATTCATATCCCTTAAGTTTTAAGGAAACACAGCTTCCAAAAAAGGGAAAGCAAATAAGAATCGAGTAGATCAGGGAGACATAGCAAATACTACAGTGAATTAATTGTATTCCTTCCAGTGTATCTTCCTGTTATCAAGGGATATTTAACTATTTGTGTACATGTTTTCCAACTTAAGACAGATCCAACAGTTACCTGCATTAAAAAAAAAAACCCCAACACAACCCTAGTTTGCTCAGAAACCAGCACCCCCAATGGAAAATGGGGGTAGGGACAACATGAAACGTAGTAAATCTGGTAATTTTAACAGCCTATCGTTCCTTTTCTCTCCAGCAATGTACAGCGGTCTATGCATCTGTGTGTTCCTTGCTGTGCTCTCAGCGAGCTCTTTCGGACAGCAAACTGTGGGCTCGCACAATGGGAATCCACTGGCTGCTGAGCTTGAGCAGGGCTTGACAGAACAGCACCGGCACGTCCGCGCCCCTTCGTCTGCTGGCCCGCTGAAATCTGTGCCGCGGCTGGATGGAAGCATTGACCAGAGAGCTAACATCGGCGCTTTGTTGGCCAAGTATCTCCAGCAAGCCAGAAAAGGTACTGGTTATAGCTTACTTATTGTGCTGGTTCTGTGCCAGTGGAATTTCCTGCAGGGGTACCCAGATGTTAAGATAACCCTGTCATCATCTAGCATGAATTCCTAAATTCATTCAGGACGTAGATTTTGTCTGGTTATTCCTGAAGGAGAGAGCATTCTCTTTCTCATTTACAGCAAAACTCCTCCCAGAAAAAAAGACTTGTACATAGCAGCCACTGACTGAGCGCTGCGTACAGGTAACTGAAGGAAATGTAACCTACCTGTCAGGTCATAGTTCAGCTTTTATTTTTAACTTACTATTTTCATAGTGTTATAATTATTTTGGTATTATTTTCAGCATGTTGTATCTCAGATAAAATACAGTTATGGCATTTTCTTCAAACCTTTTCATTTAGTTAACCTCCTCTGTTTTTTAAGTTAGAGGAGCAGGAAAACTTTTCTGAGGCTAAATGCAGACCAAATGGCTAACCTGACTTCAGCCAGAAATACCTGTACCAGGAAAATCTTCCGAGTATTGGATTTTCCATGTGTGTGTTCCCAGAGGAAGTTACAAAAGTATGAAAGCTTTTGAAAGATCAGAACTCTCATTTACGAGCACAGTAACTAAAAGCAGTGATAAGTAAAAGCACATTTGCTTCAAAACGTGTGAATTCCTGTTAGGTTTTTGGTCTCAGGCAGCCTGGGAACACAATACTGCAGTTAGTTAAAACCTCCATGGCGTTTGTAACAAGGGCATGAAGCACCGGTAGAGTAGTGGAGTTGAAGGGCTTCATTCTTATGTGATTTATTAGTCACTTGAGGAAACAATTGGGTTACACACATGAACTAGCAAGAGAAAGAGTAAAGCTGTCCCTGTTGACGTCTTAAAATACACATTTTACATAGACACAAACACCTGCTTTCTGTGCTACCAGTAAAAATGAAGAATCAAAATCATTTCCCACTGAAACTCCCCCCAAGAAAACATTTTTCCTTTTGAACTGTCTCATCCCTGTACCGCTTTGTATCTCAATAGAGTAACACCATGGGCAGCCTAATTGCTTTTGACTGCCAATCTCAGCAAAAGCCACTACACAAATCTTGTTTACTTGTGATAGCTTCGCTTTGGTCTAAAGACAACACCTAAGAAGCAAAGAGGGCTCAAGGGCAAGGCAGTATTGAGGATTACCTGGACATATAGACATTGAGAAACTAATTCACTCCCAGTCCCAGACTGTGCTTAGGGTAAAATTCACTTTATATAAGAGCTTTCTCCTCTCCTGTCTCTCCGCGCAACCTTATGCAGATCATTTAACCCTCCCCTCTTGATAGCCTCACTGCTGACCTCTATGCTAGGCATAATCCTATTCTTATTTTTGGTGGTGGTCTGCAATCAAGAGATGCCACATGTATTTTACATGTTTTTTTAATGGCTGCATTCCATATGCAGCCATACACATTCATCTGTGTACATAAAATAGGGCCAAATCAGAAACAACAGAAAAAGAACCACTTATAATAGAGAGACTTCATCTTCTGTTACCTATTTGCACAATATCCATTAAGGAACTTCTTTTAGCAGTTCACATAATCTAACAGAAAGACAGTTCAGATATGAAATTCCACAATTCAGCGCTACAGTTAAAGCTGTTACTGAATAAGAATCTTACTGCAGGAGTCTACAAAGCGGAATCCTCATTACCTCTCCCTGCTGTATTCATTGTCACCCACCTACACAGAAACCAAACTCCTTATTCTAGTTTCTGTGGCCATTATATTCTCTTAAATATCTGGCTGACATTTCCAAATAGCTTAACCAGATGAAGTGAAAAAACCACTTTGGATTTAAGACATCTTTTTAGTAAGTATTAATATGAGGGAGAATTTCCTGCATACACGTTGACACATATAATTAACTCTACAAAGTGTACTTGCTAGTTACAGAAGAGAAGATTCACAGGGACAAAACGGTATTTACTTAATTTATAACAATACATAGCGTTCCCATCAAAACATTACGTCCTCATTTAACATAAAGGGTCTGGGCAACACTTCAGAAATCTCTGCAGAACTCTCACATCTACTGTATTAGTCACTGTTAACCTGTCTAAACCATAGTACTCACTAGAAAATTCCATCTGGGGGAAAGAGAGTCTGGGCATTTGCTAGTGTTAGCAGTCATCGCTGCTGGCATTTGCCCTTGTGTTTAATAGAAAGGCCGATTTTGGATGATGCTTCCAGTTAAAACAGTGAAAGAGTTAAATTCTCTCAAGAGGTCAGAGCTAGATGGTGGCCTCATAACCAAACTGCTACGATGTAGAACACAGGACATCTACGGTGGTTTGAGGAAAGGTAATTAAGGTGCTGCTAAGAAATTCATTTTACTGTTTGTGACTCCTGGCTTTCAATTAGCGTCATCTGCAGGCTTTTGGCATGAACCTGGCACCGTGTAGAAGAGACGTCGTAGCTGTCAAGTCAGTGACACGCACATTTGCGATCCTCTAAGGAGCCCTTGCCAGGCCGGACCGTAATGGCACCGGGGAAGCCATTACAGCCCACAGGTCACTGCAGGCTCAGACGTCTCTTAAATACCAACATCCGAGTGGTGGTTTTGCGCTGTCTTAGCCCTGCCTGCTTATAGTGCCAAGAAGCCATTCACATCAACTTAATTACGCATTTTGAATTATGAATGTGAATTTCATGGGTTTTGAGTGTTTAATGGTAGACATTCTTTTCTAGAGATAATTAATTTTTTTTTGCCATTTTGTTTTAAGTAAAGGTCTAAAACATGGCTGGTTTCTTTTTTTGGTAGCTTTAAGTCTCTTATCCCTCTGCAGCCACTAACAAAACAATGCAGTTGGGTTTGGTTTTAATGGATCATGTTCATTATAAATCATGACATGAAGAAAACCTTGAAATATAAAAGCACAGTCTCACCAAAGGTTCCCTCAAAACACAAGAGACCATGTAGGGCAATTGTCTGGATTTGGATTTGTGGGGTTTAATTTGGGCTTTTTTTCCTTTTTTGATCTGTTCAAGTATTCCTCAAGCCTCAGTCTACATAGAACACTAAGATATTGAATCTGGTCCTTCCTCACTCAAGGCTTAAGCTTAATCTAATTATTGGCATATGTCAATTTTGGCTGTTGTCAGGGAGTACAGAGAAAAGTAATTCACCTTTCCCTGCATTTTTAGTTACATAATGTGATGATGTCAAAACAGAGGATTACAGGCCTTTTTTTAAAGCATAAATTCTCCTTGCAAATAGTTTGTGTCTCTCTGATGCCCTAAGCAAGGAAGACAGAAAGGCTAAGGCAAGATCAGAGATCAGCATCCAGCCCTGCTGTGAAAAGAATTATGAATGCTTTGGATGAGCAATGAAAGTATCACTGACATAGTAATAAGCCCTATGTCATTCCAGCAATAGACATCTCTAGTTATAAATTCCAGACACAACTTTTCTCAATTTCAGGACTATTCCCACTTCTCTACAAAACCTTGGATTCAGAACTCTACCCCGCTTGTTACTGAATTTGCACCGTAAGAGCTGCTGTACTTAGATTTATGGCTCTTCAAGCAACACGGGACTGTGGTGGGGTCCTGTCTCAGGCCTGAGTCTGCTCTCAAGCAGAGTTATTTTGCCTCTAGGGCAGCTCTCCCAATACCAGCAAACAAGGGTATGGTCTTATAGGAAGAGTGAGAAACGATCTGGACTTTTTTGTGTCTCTAATGAAATAGGAAGGAAAAAGGAGAAATGCGCCCATACTCCCTCCTGGCTGCCAGGAGGGAGAAAATGATCTGTTTATTTTACAATAAACACGCAAGCCACTTTCAGGACATTACCTATTACGTTTCTATGACATTTTCCCCGATGATGTGATATGGTGTTACATGGTCTGTATTAAGAGTCAAACAGTTTCAACTATTGCATGCATCTGCTAATTGAGTACAAAACAGATCAGAAAACGGATGAACCTGAAAAAAATGTGTCCGCTTACTCTCTGCTCTGCCAAACGCTTTTTCTTTAGGTCCCACTGGAAGGCTCTCAGTTATGGGAAACAGGGTACAGAGCATTGATCCTACGCACAGGATAAATGACAGAGACTACATGGGCTGGATGGATTTTGGACGCCGCAGTGCTGAAGAATACGAATACTCCTCCTAAAGAACAGCAAACTATAGCAACAGGAAAAAAAATCTAAAAATCACACTCCCATGTCTGTACAGAAAGAGAAAAATTAATTTGTTGTCCTCTTCGAATCAGTGTTTTAAAATATATCATGTATTTGATGTAAATTTGTCTGTAAGACTATACAATGCAATACATACATATGCAGAATTTTCCAGAAAATCTTCTCTTTCTTTTGTAGTTTCTCATCCACTGGTACTATATTAAAATGATTTCACTTATCCCTTCTTGTCCTGTCACCGCATGTTGCTGGGTGTCTTACTATAAAGAGAGGCAGGAAGATGCCTTCACTCTGCAATGTAAATATATTCCATGCGCTGAGTAGTCAGACAAATGAGCCACTTTTTAGAGAAATCTTGTGACAGTCCCAATAGCTGTGAACTCTAAGGGGAACGTGCCCGAATAGAAACATGACAGTACAATACTGCCAGAAAAGACCAGCTATCTTCATGGTGACTCCATTTGTAAAGAACCCAGTTATACACCAAGCCCACCTGTTTGTAGCGAATAGTCAACAGTGCCAAAACTAAAAGAAAAAGAGGAACGACACCAACGTGTTTCACCCTCCTGGCTTATTTATTTTATATTGTGAACTAAATGTGAAAGTTCAGCTGACGGCTGCGAATCACGGAATAAAGAGAGCATTCCCTGCCGTGTGGTGAGCCAAGCGTTCATTCGGGGAGGGGGTGAGGAAAGTTCCCTGAAGGCAGCAGAAGATGCTCGTGAGGGGGAGGAGGCATCAGAGCAGTCTGGTCACAGTGTGCTAAAAGGAAACAGGTCGCTCCTGAAGTCGGGTCGCTCCCGAGTACCACAGAGGCAGCCTGAGTTAGCTGTCGCCCACTGGCCTGGGGAGAAGGAGGGAGGTTGTGCCCAGCCCTTACCCGGCACAAAGCAAGGCAGCGAGCCCCACGCTCAGAGCCAGGCAGTGATCCCGGCTTGTGCAGAACCGGCACCCTGGGCACTCCGGCCGGCGAGTCCCCTCGCGGTCGTTCCTGCCTGCCGGGTGGGCAGGCTGCAGAAGGTGTTTTACTTGCGCTCTCCTCCATCACCCCAGGTAAGCCCTCCTCCTGGGTCTGCTTCAGCAGCTGGTTCTCACACCTAAAGAATTCCCTAAACTGAAAAAGGAGGTGATTTTGCATTGCATAATTTCTCCTGAATACGTGCATTAATAAGAAAAGGAATGCATTTTTCACATGCTGAAAAGCAGGTGCTTGCCAAAGGAAAGAGGCAGGTGTATCTCTCTGTAGCAATTTCTGCAGCAGTTAATATGCAAAACCAATGCATAGAGAATAATACACAGAAAATATTCGTACTAAACCAAAATTCTACCAAAACCAAGACTGGGAAACAAAACAAAATGGTTATGCCAAGGGCTGAATGCAAAAAACATTTTGAGTTGTTCCCTGCAGCAGCCGGGAGAGCAGAGAGCACCGCAGAAATCCGCAGGGAAAGGGAGACTTCAGCTAATAGTAATGGGGAATTTTCCTCTCTAGTAACACCAAACCTCTCTTTTTGTGGATCTCATCTTGAAAACGTGGAGCTGCTTTTCTGCATGAAATTTTCTTCCTCTCATGCTCCTTCCAGTCAACCAGTTTCCAAGCTACCTAGTCTGGCTTTTCTCGGCTCCTTTCCAAACATAATGAGTCTCTAAACACCTGAATTCTCTCCTTAGTTTTGGCTATTGCCCACAGGAAAACAGTCCAAAGTGCCCATTTTTCCAAAACTTTCAACCAATTAACCTTTTTTTTTAAAAAAAAAAACTGAGGAAAATACAAATTAATCTAAAAATGCACACATTCCCCATCAAAGTGATGTTTCTTTAAAAGTAAGTTAGGAGAAAACTAAGTTTCTAGTTTACTATCTTTTAATAACAGGAATATTCAAATAACATTTTAAAATGTTCTGTCCCTGGGTTATTTATTGGAGGACGTAATATTGTGTGGACGTCTGGGAGTAGATGATGTTGCAAATCTAGCCTTACTGCTGGGGAATGTTGTCATTAGAAAAAAACCACAAACCTTTGTGGTTTTGGTTTTTTTTTTCTTTTCTTCTGTCTCATTTCCTCCAGGCAAGGGAATGGAGGGACAAAGATGTTTCATCCCATTCCTCTCCCTTCTGAAGGTCTCTGAAGATGTCTATGAACGTGCACATCCCATGCAGCTGGAATGATGGGTTGGGGGGGGAGTGGTTTACAGGACAGAGGCATCTTTTCGTTGCCTGCCGCCCATAAAAGTGGTTTCACCACCTTGCTGCTCACAAGGCTCCCAGGTAAGAGCAGCCCCACGGCCTCGTCCTTTGTGCTGCAAAACTCCCACCCTGTGAGTGAGACCATGGTCCCTGGGTGGTCTCGGGGGCTTCGCTGCCCTTCCAGTTATCAGGGTTGGGACTTTCTCCGTGAATAATTCCCAGGCACAAAATAATGCTTCCACCCCTGCCAAGCCACCACCACCATTGCTTTTGACCAAGCATTTGCTCATTTTAAATCACAAAAATGCCAATGACAGAAAAAGTAGTTTCACCTGTAAAATCTGCTTTCTCCTTGTGATACAATTGCCAGCAAAGTTTGTCTGGTCTTGAACGCAATGAGGAGAAAGTGCTGTTTTTCTTTGCCAGCCCACTGCCAGCGTGACATTTGTAAGAAGTCACCTCTGCCACCTTTCCTGGACGCCAGAAAGCTTCAGACAAAACTTGGTCTAATTTTTTTTTGTTACAGTCACTGCACATGCCGGTTTTAATATTTATGTAACAGTGCTGTAAATTAGACCTAGGGAATAAAAGGACTTGCAGTGACTCACCTGGCATTCAAATGAGGATTTAAAACATACATCATCTCTCCCCCCCCGCCCATCTCCAGACTGAAAGCCTTAGCCAGTCAGTGTAGGTCAATGGGGGCCCTCTTCTGACTGGGCATTGAAATAACTATAAATCACAGCGTGCTTTGCAGAGGGCCTGACCCCGCTGTGTTTGCAGACGCTTTTTGGGTCATATTTTAGCAGTAAACAGCTTCTTACTGAACCTCACCTGCACTTCAGGCAGGTGTTGAACTGCTCAGCCCTGACAAGTCCGGATGGAGACGCACCCCAAGGCAACGCAACGCAACGCTGCACAACCGCAGCCCTGCTCGGGTCAGGCACTGCCTGGAGCGGGAGCACTGGGCCGGGAGCGATTTGGGATTGCAAGTCAGGACCTACAGGCCTAAATTCTTCCTAAAAGAGCCCTTCTTTACCACCTAAAACCCAGCTCAGGACTAACATGGTTTTTTGGGTGCTGCTAACATACAAGCTTGTAGCTGCAGGGGACGTCTCTCCCTCATTCTTAACGCTCACAGGAGTACAGGTTTGGGGGCAACTGCAGTAATCATCAAGGTGAGAGAGCTGTTGGTCTGGGACAGACACAGCACTCACGGTTCCTGGAGACAAGGGGGCGGCTGGCTGTAAGCGACTCAGCATCCTCCTCCTCCTCCTCCTCAAAACATCACTTACCTGCTCTTCTGGGAGCTAAAGGAATTCCCAAGATGGGAAAAGGTTGTAAAGGCTAATGAGACATCGTTCAGCTCCCACCCGACCTGGAGGTGCTGATTGGAGCTAAACAGAGGCCAGCAAATTCGGGAAGGTCAATCAACCCTGGTAGCTGCAATGGTCATCCCTGGGGCATTAGCGAAGCCACCCTCCAGGTTGCTCTGTTTTAACCCAAGGGAAACCGCGGCCTCGGGGATGGAGCCCCTCCAGCTGGGTACGAGCCCCTTGGGTCCAGCAAAGGCTTTGGGCTGTGAAGCGCCCTGCAGATTTCAGCACACGTAGCAGTGCGTTGGCACAACCTCCTGGTGCTTGTCTGGAAGGTGTTTTCCGGCACTGCCAACTCTCTGACATTTAATTTAGCTTTACTTGAATACATTTTTATAGAAGCGCGTGCGTAGGGGCTAAATTAACACTGGCAAAATAGCAAATCAATAACTTTTTGCATTTAAAGACAGTTTGTTTGCTCCGTGAGCTTGATTCAATTAGTTCTGCTCCAACTTGACTAACTTAACTTCAAACCAGGTGCTGGTATGCTGGTATTTGATCAGGGGTAAGGAGATGCAAATCTCTGTGAACAGAGCAGCTTGCTGCAAACACCACATAAATGAGCAGGGAAGAGCCTGGGGCTCTGCCCTTGCAGGGCCGTGCATACGGCAGCCGTGAAAAGAGGGTAGAAGCAGCAAATGCTTCTCCTGGGAGTGGGGAAATCCAAGCAGCCTCCCCGAGAGCGAGGCAGCTCGCCCTGGGAGCTGGGACAGCACATACGAGAAAGCTCAGCTACGTCAATGCACCTGATCCTGAACAGTCTCATCTGCCCTGGTATTTCATATGCTTTAAAAAAAAAGAAAAAAATTACAAAAACCAAAAAAAGCAGCATGCAGATCACAGGGTCCAGTGCTCAGCTATTAGGAGACACTGGAGCTGATACTGGTTTTCCAAGGTGAATTTGCCCTACTGCCCACCCGTTGCACCACAGTCTCCTCTCCCAGCAGCGTGGGCTGCGTTACAGGAATACGTGTGGATCCTGCCCCGCTCTCCCACGCTGTGCTGCATCACCGGCCCCTCTGTCCTTGCCACACATGGGGCAGCGGCCGTGCCGTGTCAGGGATGTGCAGCAGCCAGATGTTCCCAGCTGCAGCCCAGCTCTGCACGTTTCTGCTCTCCGGCACGCTGAGCGCAAATCAGGCCGTCCCTTTCCAGGGATTGAGCGGAGGACTTTGCAAATCAGACAAAATAACGCTGAGCGCAAATCAGGCCGTCCCTTTCCACGGCTTGAGCGGAGGAGTTTGCAAATCAGACAAAATGTGAATGTTATAATGTCCTAGCAGAGCAGTGAAAGGCTTCTCTATGTGTTTGATTTTTGTATCCCCTGAGTTCATTAAAATTCTCTTAAAGAAAGAAAAAAAATCCAACTGTGGGCTTGTTAAAGCTTTAATCATTCCTAAGTGCCTGTGTCAATTGAAGAGCAATTGGGTTCGGCACAGCTTGAAGCCTATTTTAGCAGGACAAAAATCTCTATAATCTTTTAAATACAAACATTATCGACTTCTTGAGTATATGCCATTCTCACATGAAAGCTCCCTGCCTACATTACAGCTAAGGACATTGCTAAACGCCAATAACTTTCAGGCCTTTTATTATTTTTCTTGCTATTCTGTGGTCTCACTTGGCTTGTTAACTGAATTAAAGCAGGCCTGGATGGCGCCCAGCGAGATGCC